AAGCAATGTTGACTTCATTTTAATTTGTAATGAATTGAAGACAGAAAAAATTATTTTACCGTAATATACACATCTGTAACAGCAAGTGATCATGAAATTGTAAGTTATGTTGTTGGTAATAGAAAGGTAAAAATTATTCAGAAATTGTTCTTCAAATGCTTGGCGTGTTCTGCTTCAATGTTTGGCATGTTCTGGTTAGTTTTTTCAAGTTCTTCAGCTGTTCCTTAGGGAAATTTTGATTTTTATTTGCTGCTAAGAAAATGGCGTCCGTCATAGCCGATGACTTTGATGGAACTAAATGAAAACGTGATAAATTAATGTCTGATATTTACAGGCTCCCGATAGAGGGCGTACTCGAGCGTTGCGATCGCGAATTCCCACGACATGAAACTTTGTCTTAGTAAACGTACGTTTTGGAAATGTTATTTCATTTGGAATCTTATTTGTTAGAGTTCATATGGAGATATGATTGTTTTGAATCTATGCTAAACTCTATATCGGCCCATTTTCCACCGAAATCCGATTGACTACTTTGATTTTAAATAAAGTGCTTTATTTTAAGATATGTCGCAAAAATTTTAAGTGTAATTTCACATTGGCGGCACTTAACAACCGCCAAATCTGTAGCGGCGGTGGCGTTAGTACGTAAGTACCGAATTTTAATTTCATACTTTTCTGAATCATATTACTTCAAACATTAGAATATACAAGAAGTATACATGAACACTTAATGTTATACCATTTAATTTTTCAAAAAAAGTATTTTGACTACAATTTTTATCAAAAAATTGTTAACTTAAAAATGTAAAATAAAGAATTCTTAGGGAAAAAAACGATTTTAAAAATTCTCTGTATTGAAATAAAAACTTTCATATTGTTTCTTTTTTTATTCTTATAGTTCTTAATCAGACGTAAAAAACCATTCTGTAGAAAACTATCATCACATAAGAAAGAAAAAATATTTACAAGTAAATTTTTATAAATCCGCAGAATTCCAAATGAAATGTTCTTCGTTTTAAAATTTTATTTTCAAATAATATATGCATAGGTTATCGTTTCATTATTCTTAGATAACATACCACATATCAAAATTTTGTAATTGTAAGATCTCGATATGAATTTGAATATGTAGCTTAAAAACAGAACAGCTGAATTCTAGTCGAAATTATTCTTTCAAAACTAAAAAATGCTTACTAAGAAAACGGTAAAAAATTATTAATAATCAGTACAAATGAAACTATTTCAAGTATTTTGAATGATTCGTTATTGTTGTTTTCCGAATTATACAGGTACTGAAATATATACTATTCTATAAAGAAGAAGAATATTCTATAACTATTACAGTTCTGAATTCACTTTATTTTTTGGAATGACGAAAGCAATGTTGAATTCACTTTAATTTGTAATGAATTGAAGACAGAAAAAATTATTTTATTGTAATAATCACATCTGTAACAGCAAGTGATCATGAAATCCGAAGTTATGTTGTTGGTAATAGAAAGGTAAAAATTATTGAGAAATTGTTCTTCAAATGCTTGGCGTGTTCTGCTTCAATGCTTGGCATGTTCTGGTTAGTTTTTTCAAGTTCTTCTACCTTTTCCTTAGGGAAATTTTGCTTCTTATTTGCTGCTAAGAAAATGGCGTCCGCCATGGCCAATGGTTATGATGGAATTAATGTCCGATATTTTCAGTCTCCTGCTAGAGGGCGCACTC